TGGATGGCATCACTAACTAAATGGACATGAGTTCGAGTAAACTCAGGGAGTTGGTGATGGACAGGGAGTCCTGGTGTGCTGCAGTCCATGGCGTCACAAAGAGTCAGACATGAGTGAGCAACTGAACTGAACAGACTTTAAGCAATTATCTACAGAACTACCTGCTTTGCACAGCCATGTGATACCAATAGCCACTGTGCTTTGTGAGAACCATAAACTAACACAATAGTGCATACAGATAAACCTGCTTTCAGCTGCCCGTTGACCAAGAAGAGCTTCCTAGGTGTTGAGGAACATATGACAAATAAGAATTACCTTTACCACATGGGAAGCTCTTGCATCACCTTTAAAGAAAGACCTGATGAGGGGTTTGTATAGATCTGAATCTGAATCTTCACTGTTGCCTTAGTCTCCTTTGATCTTGGGCAATTGTTTTTGTTAATATGTTAAGTAGTTAGCATGGTGTTGGCAGGTACATTCATATTGAATGGTAGGTCTTTTGTTTTCTTTAGTATCATTAAAGCAACCACTTAAGGAGCACTTGCTAGATGCCAAGGACCAGTCCAAGCACTTTACATGTCTCCTTATGTAATATACCAATTTTATGAATAGGAAATTTCCCCAAGGAAACACACTGAGGAAGAGGAAGAGCCAGGACCAAAAGGATGCTTTCCGGCTACATCACTGTCTCTTGGTACCAAGTAGAACATGTCTCTGAGCCTTTCATTTGACCATATCATGTCTGCTTGCTGGGCTTCTCTGGTGGCTCAGCAGTAACCAATCCACCTGCAACACAGGAGACACATGTTCAATCCTTGGAGGAGGAAATGGCAACTCACTCCAGGATTCCTACTTGGAAAATCCCGTGGACAGAGGATGGGCTACAGTCCATGGGGTCGCAAAGAGTCAGACACAACTGAGCACACACACATATCGGCTTGCCACAGAGCAAGATGAAAGCTACTAGCTCCACCTCTGGCAAATTCCAGTTGTTATTAATGTCAGTGTTTAGGCAAGGCCTGAACACTGTTGGGATGTGGCCGGTGTGATCTATAATATGGCTCACTCTTCTCCACTCAGAAAACAGTCTGATTTGCTAAGCATTAAATGAAAAGTTCTTCCTAAGAATGTTTTCAAGATTGCATCTTTTTTCTTTTAAGATTTTTTTTTTAATATGAATCATTTTTTTAAGTTTTAACTCAATCATTTTATTGAGTTGGTTGCAACATTGCTTCTATTTTACATCTTGGTTTTTTGTCCACGAGGAATGTGGGATTTTAGCTCCCTGACCAGGGATCGAACCTGTACCCCATGCACTGGGAGGCAAAGTCATAACCACTGGACCACCAAGGAAGTCTCTCAAGATTGTATCTTTAATATGGTGCTTTTTAGAAGCAAATTCTTACAATAATTAATTGCACCATATGTTTTACCAATTACTGTTATATATTAGTTTCTTCCATGGTTGGAGTCAAGACAGTGGAAGTTATAAAGTATGACTCCTGTCTTCAAGGATAAGTAGGAAAATATAAAGGAAAAATCCACAGCTTATGAGTAGGAACAAACAAGAAATCTCTTAACAGTGAAGCAAAGTCAGTGAAAGTAATCTCATCATCCCATCACAGACATTTCAGAATAGATTCAGGAGACCATTCTAATTACTTAATTCATTCTTAACATTTTTAGGCAAAGACATTTAAACATTCATAGGCTTCCAGAATCAAGACAGGGTTCTAGACCAGACTGTACCCTTCTTAATCTATGCTCAAGGAGTGGGAAAAAGGAAGCCATCTTCAGCCCTTATTGATAATATTCCTCAATGGAAGTTTCTAGTGATATTTAGAGGCAAGTTACCTTTTCCTGCTTCCTTGTATCAGATTCTTTAGTCAGTCCTGAGGTTGAACTATGAATAAAACCAGACTCCTTTGTGATAGAAGTGTTAGCAAATGTTAATCATGTTGTAATACATAAATGTATTAAATCATTATGTTGGACACCTTATATGTACACAATATTATATGTCAGTTATAGCCTCCTAAAATAAATAAGTGACTAAAAAGAAAACTAAAAACAGGTTCCTATCCTCCAGCAACTAAAAGACTAATTGTGGGCACAGCTATGTAAAAGATGCTTGCATAGCCACATGATAACTGCTTTAAGAGGGCTATGTACAGAATACCTGGAACCCCTGATAAGGGAGTGAGTCAGTTTGCCCAGGAAGAGAGTCAACCTAAAATGACCAGATTTTAAATCTTTGTCATTAGATAAATAAGCTGCAAGTGGAAAAAATAAATTGTGTTCATAATAACAAAAATTAAATTACAAACAGTAAGTTAGAAACATGATTTTTTAAAAAAATTAAAAACATGAAGATAAATTTGGGCATCTGAGCTGGTATTTTAAATGATGTGTTGAGTATTTTACTTACATGACTCTTGACTATTTTGGTGCTCAAATATAAATATCAGGAAAGTAAAATAAAAATAAGAGTAATTAAGAACTTTGGCCGATCTTTTACCCCCAACACTCTTTGTCCTGCCCAGTGCACTTTAAGAAATGAGAGAAGAAGTAAGGAATTAGTTATCTTTTGGAGCTACGTTGAGTGCAAATGCAATTTTACTCAATTAAGCCTTAAACAACTGATGCAGGCAAATGTGGTCCATGCACTAGAGACCCTTATTATATCTAATACAAAATAGTTAATTGCTTCCAAATGAAGCACAAATCAGACAAAGAAATGTCAAGTCCGACTAGTACTAAAATAAAAGTGGGCAATGGGCAGCATTGTGTTTTTGCTTGACTCCATGGATTCTCAGGAATATGCATTTACTTAACAGGCCAAATTAAGGCACGTGTCCTTCTGGGACTGCCAGTCTTAGGGCGTGTGAACAGAAATGCAATTTTCTCTGTGGTTTCTCAGATGGATCTAGTAAAGATCTTTATTAGTCTGCATGACAACCTCGTTTCTGGGCAGTATTGCCTATCGCACTGTGATTTACAAATATTAAACACATTCACAGGTAAAATCATGCTTTCAAAATAGTCTGAAATCATTCACACAATTTTACATTAAATGATGTTATCACATAAGTCATAGATACAACACTATATAATGTGAGTTTTCTATTAAAATTGTGAAGGTCAGGGGACTGCCCTTAAGATTGATCTTTTGTTAGAAGAAAAATATTGCCACTGCTTATAAATAGGGAAACAGAAATTCTTGTGTATTTGGGGGCTTTTATTTTGGACCCCAAATGGAACTTAAATTTCCACTGAGAACATGTAATGCCAAAATGAAATCCTCTCAACAAATTCACAGTTTAGTGTTCAGCTTTTCATTGTAAATTATGTTTACTAAATCTCAGAAGCAATACAGTGAAAAAGAAGATAAAAATATAAATAAGGCTAGATTGTGTTATTAAACTAGATCCTGTCAACATAAATTGATGGGGGAAAATACTTATTTTTTGTGTGTGTACAATTATGTTTGAAAATTTGATCGCTAATGGATTTCTGTATTCATATCAAGGTCATATGGGCAATTGTTTATGAGTAATCTGAAATCTCTTATAGTCTCTTCCAACAAGTTTTATAACGTCAATTTATGTGAGACATTTTGCCATTTCAAATGTTTCTCCCTCATCGTTTTTTTCCATAAGAGCAATGTGCTACATTTTGTTAATTTTGCACTTGTTTTCAAAACCCTCCTTTATTTGACTGGAGAGCTTGCAATTAACCCACTTCTCTCTATTGAGAAGCATCTCTATAATAACAGCTTTCCTGGCAGAGCTTTTGTTAGGCAGATTTTAAAATCAAGAGCCCATCAAGGTTGGAAAAAATCCAGTCATATTAAAGTTCAGCAAATCTCTTTCAAGGTCATGTCCCTTAAGGTTATGGAGGTTTTCTTCCTGTTGAAAAGCTCGCCAAGTTCCTTTTTCCCACTTAAAAAAAAAGAAGGAAGACAACACTGTTACCTGTTTTACCAAATATTGAGAGAAAGATGAAGGCTTTACGGTGAAAGGACAAGAGAGATTTTTTGATGCTTGCTGTAGGAAGGGTTAGTCTTCTGTCAACTGCCCTATAGACCCATTCATAGCCAGGGCTGGCCAGCCATCCAGCTGCATGAAGGAGCTTAACAGTCAAAGGGCATGGTAATTCCCTCCATCTGCCTTTTCTTTCTTCTGAGGCGAAATCTTCACCTGGTGTTTTTGATTCATGTGTCCTAATTATGATGGCTGCCATCAGCAGCCCTGTGGGGGACACCACAAACTCGCTGAGCCCACAGAGCATGCTGAAGCTTGTTAAGCAACCATGTCAGCCTGATTTTAGGGCCCATTTTGCAGCTCTCCACAGGCCTATCTAAAAGCATCAGGAATCTCAGCCTTGCAGGACAAGTGCATTGTCTTTCTAAATGTCTCTTCCTGATAAGCAAATCCAAATATGGTTCATTCACTGTGGCTTTGAAGGCACAGTGGGGAACTTGGCCTGCATGGTGGATACAACAAAATGCTTAATATTATCACTTGGTATAGAGCTAAAGAACTCAATTTCCAATTCCAATATAAAAACCTTTGCTCCCCAGCTATGATCAAGAGTTTGAAATTTAAATCAGGAGTCTTGAAAGCTATTCTAACTCTCAAAAGGGCTGGCTTTCCCATACATACAAAGAAGAAAATGCTGTGCTTGCATTAGGATCTGAATCAGAGAAAGCGCACATCATTTCAGAAAATGTAATACTTGCCTCTTTCAATTGAAATGCTGTCGAGTATCTTCCACGTTTTCAATTCATTTGTTTTATTGTATTTCCCATTATTTAGATTATGATTAGGACTGGTCCCACAGTCCTTTTTTTATTACTTTATGTACCTCCTATTGTTTTAGTATTCTACACTAATAGCACCTGGCAACATCCAAAATGTTTTGATTTTATTTTTGTGGAAGTGCAAAAACAGCATCAGAAATAAATTTAACAACATCTTTAGCATCCCACACCCTCTTACCTCTGTATATGACACATTGTGAGTCAATGTGTTTAGCTGTCCTCCAAATAAATGCCAAAGTGGGACTTTCCTTCCTTATTGGTGTGTTATTTTGAAGAATGTTCTTGCTCTATTTAGGATAGTGGAAAAATAAAGAAAGCTTAGTTGATATAAGAAAGTTCCATTTAGGAACTTAAACCTAAAATCGTGCCCAATGGTTTGCAAGTGGCAATTCAAGGTTTTTCAGAACATCTCTTCACAGGCTGTGATTCTTATCCCCTCCCCCAATCTCAAGTTCATCACACAGGGATTCACAGAAGAAACTCAATCACCAGTTTGCAAAATAATTGGGTTTGGCAAACTGTTCTAAAGTTAATACCTAAACAAACAGTAACCTGTAAGTCCTTGTATAATTGGTTACTCTCGTAGTTTCTGTAGGCAGAGAATCATCACTTGAATTTTCTCTGTTGGTTTCTTATCTTTCATTGTTCACTTCGGCCCAAATGAGAATATGTGTGATGTGTTGGGTCCAGACTCTCAGGGGGGTTGGGGTGGGAGGGTGGCAGCTGATGCAAGGGACTGAGTTATTGAGTCATCCCCAAGTTGTTGATGCATCTTGGTCATGTCAATGTTGAAAACCAATGTTGCATCAACTGATAAGTCAGAAGACAAATAATAAATGAAGAGACAGACAACGAAATAAATATAACATTTTTCCAATCATCAAATTCCTTTCATGTTTACTCCTGAACATTTCTCAAACCTATCCTGACCATCACTACTCTCATCAAGGCATTCGTCACTGCTTGATGCTGCTTCCATCTCCCATCTTTATGTGTCTAGTCTTTCCCCTTTCTTTCTTTCTTTTTTAATTTATTTGGCTGTGCAGCTTTCAGTATCTTAGTTCTACAACCAGGGTTTGAACCCCTGCCCCCTGCAGTGGAAGGACAGCGTCATAACCAGCGTACCACCAGGGACGTTCTCTTTCCCCTTTAGATTCATCTTCCAAATTGGCACCAGAACAATCTGAATATAATGCCAACCTACCATGTCATTTGCTGTTTAACTCCTTTGGTGACCACGACCTATTCCCCATCTACCTTTTCCATCTTCACTCTCCCTTTCCACCTGCCGCTCTACACATACTTTAAATTCGAACAACTTCAAGGAGTCTGATATGACCCAAAGTAAGTAGATTAGGCTTATTCACTTTTACTGGCTCCTAGCAGTGAAAATCAGATTTTGTTACCACTGTGTTTTGTTTGTTTAAGTCATGGACCAACTCTTTGTGACCCCATGGACTGTAGCCCGCCAGGTTCCTCTGTCCATGGGATTTTCCAGGCTGGAGTGGGTTTTTATTTCCTTCTTCCATTTAGATAGCTTATATTCATCTACTGTTGTATTAGCAATCATGCAGCAAAGCTTTACTGAGCGCTTATCATGTAATAGGCACTGCACAAAGTCTTGAAGGCATGAGTGCATCCTCAAAGATCCCAGAGACAGACTTCTAGGCAGGTGGTTACAACAAATGGGCCAAATGGAGACATGTATAGGGAGGTCCTTCCGGGAGGACTTTGTGAGAGTTTAGAATCTGAAAGGGTAGAGAAGAGAAAAGGTGCAGGAAGAGCCTTAGAGAAGGGAAGAATCTTAAGGAGTGAACAGAAGTTAGCCACAAGTAGGCCATGTGTTGTTTCAGGTATTCAAAACAGAGGAACATGTGAGAAAGTGTCAAGGTAATAAACTACATAGCACACAGAAAAAGAATAGAAATTGGAAGTGAACCTGGAGAGACAGATAAGATCCCCGTTGAAGAGGTATTAAATGCCATGTAAAGAAATAACTTTAGATGATAAGAAATCACAGAAAAACATAACCTGGATATGACACGGGTTAAGTGTCTGTTTCAGAAGATAGATCACTTTGGTACCTGTGCAGAGGGTGGTTCCAATGAAGAAAGCATAGAGGCTAGAAGACCCAGCAGGAGGCCATGGTAGTATTGAGATGAGAGACAATAGAGGTCTAAATGTGGGGAGAAAAGGGAGTAAAGTGTAACTGGGACTATTAGGCATCTGACTAGATATAGTCTGTGAAAGCGGAGAAGGCAATGGCATCCCACTCCAGTCCTCTTGCCTGGAAAATCCCATGGATGGAGGAGCCTGGTGGGCTGCAGTCCATGGGGTTGCTAAGAGTGGGACATGACTGAGCGACTTCACTTTCATTTTTCACTTTCATGCATTGGAGAAGGAAGTGGTAACCCACTCCAGTATTCTTGCCTGGAGAATCCCAGGGACAGAGGAGCCTGATGGGCTGCCGTCTATGGGGTCACACAGAGTCGGACATGCCTGAAGTGACTTAGCAGCAGTAGCAGCCGCAGTCTGTGAAAGAGACAGAGGCGTCAGAAATGGTTTACTGTCATCATGGGTGACAGAGAGATGCAGATGCCAGCAACAGAGAAAGAATCAAGAAGTACGAATGTGTTACTATTAAAAACAGGAGTTAGTTCCAGGTTCTTATTGTCACATATGCTCCTTATAGTCAATCATTTCTATAATTATGCCTCATAGAAATTTATACCTTTCTGAATGCATCAGAAATGGGTTAGACAGTCACAAGGTCCAGGATTCAAGCAAAGGAGATACAACACCTGAAATAGACAAGTGTCTTCTCCTTACTAGAGGGCACTTTCATGCATACCACAGCGCAAGGTAGAAAGAAATCAACACTGCAGGAAAGACACAAAGGAAGATGCGGAGGGGTCAGAGGAAGCCTGCTTACATCCCACTGCGAGTTCAGCAGGAATAATGGATCAGATGGTATTTGAGGAGGTCCTCAGAGCTTATACAGACAGGATTACCTAATTCTTATACTTGCCCAGGAGGGGCAAGAAGTAGGATGCAACCTGGATGCACAGTGGGAGCACATTTGAAAACAAGACTGTGAGCAGTTTGGGATCCTTCTAGACCAGTGATGTTGGGTGTTAAGTTGATAACCACAGCTGCGGTGCAGATGCAGTAAGTCCCATACATACAAACAAGTTCCATCGGAGAGAGTGTTTGTGGATCCAATTTGTTCGTAAGTCCAACAAAGTTAGCCTAGGCTAATAACTAGCTCTATATTAAAGTACTATAATACATTTATAATACTTTTCAGACAAAATAATTGTTGTTTAGTCACTAAGTCATGTCCAACTCTTTGCAACCTCATAGACTGTGTAGCCCTCCAAGATCCCTGGAATTTTCCAAGCAAGAATGCTGGAGTGGGTTGCCATTTCCTTCTCCAGAGAAACTTTCTGACCCAGGGATCAAACTTGTGCTTCTCTCCTGCATGGGGAGGCAGATTTTTTACCATCTGAGCCACCTGGGACCTGAAAAATATAGCAACAACAAAAAAGACATTTGTAATCTTACAATGCAGTAGCCTGAAAAGTATAGTACTACACACAACAGCTGGCGTACTGGGGCTGGCATCAAGTGAACAGGCAAGAAGAGTTAGTGACCGGAGCAGGCAGAGGTGGTGGGAGGTGGTCAAGCTGAAGGGTCGACAGCAATAGGGGACAGAGGAGCTGCAGTTTCACTCACACCTGAAGTTGTTTGCATCTTTGAAAGTTTGCAACTTGAAGGCTTGCGTGTAGGGGACTTGCTATGTTTATCCTTCATTGTTGCAGAACCTTTCCATCAAGTCTTAGCTAGAGAGAGGGATCACTTTTAAATCTTAAGACCCTTTCACATCATATAAGGGCAAGAATGGATATAATGCAATACAAATACCGCCCTTTGTATTCTTGCTGAGTCATTTGGAAGTGACACTGTTATACTTGGGGGGTTGGTTTATTTTGGGGAGACGTTGGAAGGAGGAGTCCCGTGGGGCCACTGCTCCATCCTGGGCACCGCTGGGGCCCTGCCACCTCGAGGCTGTCTGCCTGTGTGAGCCCCGCCCTCCCAGGCCCCACAGAGCGCCCAGGCCAACAGGCTTTCATGATCTCAAATTCCATCCCCTCCCCTGTTCTTTGTAAGATTCTGTTTTTATCTTTTTTTTTTTTTTTTTTTTAACTCATCTCTGGTTAGCCTTCATAAACTGCAGTCTGAATGTACAATTGTCAATATTTGCTACTCCTTTCCTCCTAATCCTAAAAGAATTCTATGGAGCTTGCTGGCTGCGGAGGTGACCCCATGCTCTCCACGGTAAATGTTCCTTTCACAGTGCAGAACTGCAGGAAAGACGAAAGGGCTGAGCACCTGGGGAGACAAGGACGCCCCAGGGGAACAGAGGCATCCAGACTCCAGACCCTGCTCTGAAAGCCAATGTCTCCTGCCCTCTCATCCAAGCCAGCCCACCTGTCCTTCCTCTCCTTCCCTCCCATTGTTTGTGATTTCTGACTCAGTCTGTTAGACTCGAAATTGACCTGACCAATTCAGCCCTTCAGTAAAATATATACATATAAGTATATATGTTTTTATTTTAATTTTTTACTGGTGTATAATTGCTTCACAATAATGTATTTGTTTGTGCCGTACAACAATGTGAATCGGCGATATGTATACATATATCCCCTTCCTCTCGAGCCTCCTGCCTCCATCCCACTCATCTACTCACCACAGAGCCTCAAGCTGAGATTCCTGTGCTTTAGAGCAGGTCCCACTAGCTATCTGTTTTACACATGAGAGTTTATATGTGTTCATCCCAATCTCCCGATTTGTTTCACCTTCCTCTTCCCTGCTTTTGTCCACAAGTCTGTTCTCTGCAAATGAGTCTCTATTCCTGCCTTGGAAATAGGCTCATCTGGACCACTTTTTTAGATTCCACATACTTGCATTAATAGATGATGTTTGTTTTTCTCTTTCTGACTGACTTCACTCTGTATGACAGACTCTAGGTTCATCTACATATCTTCAAATGACTCAGTTCATCACAGCACTCTTTACAATAGCCAGGTCATGGAAACGACCTAGAAGTCCAATGACGTATGAATGGATAAAGGTGTGGCATATACATATGTGTGTATGTGTGTGAGAGTATGTGTATATACACATGTATACATATATATGTATGTGTTTAACCCTGACACTCACTACCTGAGTTTCTCCCATCATAGTATATACAACAAGTTGTGGCCTTGAATTTAGTTCCTAGGCATTCACAAGTAAACTCTGTAAAAGAAACTGGGGACAAGAAAGAAAAGACATGCTGCATCTGAAGTGTCTGAATATCTGTTTTCAACTCATAGCCGTAGGCTTTGCAGTGACCATTTATTTTTAATGAAGTAGCCCTTGTACAAGTGAAAATGCAAGTGAATGTTCTGCTATTGCCATACATTGTTTGCTAATGTCAGAGCTTCTCTCTGGCGTAACCATAGGGTAGCCTTGATAATATTTTGATAAGAAGCAAAACTATGAGGCAATAACCCTATCTATGTTTTGTGACCGTGAGGATAAATTTGGAACCAGCATTCTGTCTGTATTTTCTCTGGGAGACTTTTATGGTTCACAGAGAAAATAGGGGAAATAAATGATAATATCTCCTTTTTCCAGCAATTCTCATTGTTTCATCTTTTACTGCTATTTATTCTCTTTCTTTTTCATTTTCCTCCCCCTCTTGAAATGAATATGTTAAAGCATGTATCCAGCTAGGAGTCTGTATAGAGTTTTGTTTTATCTTAGGAATCAGAATTCTAGAACTTAGATAGGGATAGTACAAGAGCAAAGACTTAACCAACCCCTCATTTTACAAAAGAGGAAACTGAGACACGGCAAAGAGAAGGAACTTGCGTCTGATCAGAGCTGAGACTGAGTTGGAAGCCCGTGGTGGCTGTGTATTGGGCTTCCCCAGGGACTGAATAGTGCCATGGGGTTTGGAACAAGACCCTTGTGAGTTGCACGGGGAAAGCAGACTCAAACGCCCACCTTCTCTTCTGAATTCTGAACGTTTTGAGGTGCAATCCTTTCTGAAGGTCAAGAATCAATTCAGGCTGATGCAACTCTGTTGTTTGATTGCTTCACATTCTGGATCCCAAGACTTTTTTTTTTATTATTATTATTATTTTGACTTTTATTTCCCTTCTTATAGATTCAGGTTAGTGTGTGTTATGTTGCTTTGTTGGACTGTTATTATACATCAAAACTGGCATAAATCCAGAAGCAACAGATTAGAAATATTGACTTTTCTGTTGGACTAATAACAACTATGGTGTGTGAGTTAATACATGTAATTTTAATTTTATAACAAATGTAGCAGTGCATGCTGGGAAGATCCCTGGAAATATAAGAAAAGAAAACCTTTCTAAATTGTAAGAATCAAAAAAAGATAGGATGCAGAAAGATCAGCTTGTTTCTTTGCACAGGGGTAAACCCCTAAAAGGTCTCCCTTGATGTCTTAGACAGTAAAGAATCTGCCTGAAATGCATGAGACCTGGTTCGATCCCTAGTTCGGGAAGATCCCCTGGAGGAGCGAATGGCTCCTCACTCTAGTGTTCTTGCCTAGAGGATCCCATGAACAGAGGAACCTGGCGGTCTATAATCCATGGGGTTGCAAAGAGTCAGACATGACTGAGCGACTAACACTTTCACTTTCACTTTTTCCAACCCCCTAAACCAATTTAGAAAGCCACTTAGGCACTATTTTCAATAGAAATATATATGTTGGAAGACTCTTTTCACAGTAGCAAGTGTAACATCCTTAGGAACAATAATTCCTCAAGGGAGACTGTATAACTGCATTACTTATTTCTCAGTTTTAGAGCAGCAGCAATTAAATAAACTTGAAACCAGTGGCTATAATCCTCAAGGTTGGATCTGATTAATAAAGCGAGTGATAGCCTGCTGATTCTCAAATAAAAAGCTAAATAAATATATGTTGCCATTTTCAGCAATAAAGTAATAAGCAGTTTGCAGTAAATGTGATTGGCATAAAACAATGTAGAAACTAATGTCGAATGCATTCAGGAAACAGCTATTGCTGTCAAGTTTGCAAAATAGGATGGTACTTCCACAAATGTATCTACAATTTAAAACGATTGAAATAGGTTGACAGATACGCTCACAAATTATTCATGCAGTATTTAAATTGTGTACCTAACTCCTCAATAGCATATTTATTTAATCAAAGCATGATCATTTCTGACAATTACTTTTATAAACTTTCATGAAATATACCAGGAAATATCTGCAGACACATATTACTTAAGTCATGTAAGCACTAAAGAAAAGCTGACACAGCTATTCAGAGCAGCAAAGGAACGGATAGAGTCTAGCACGTTAAGACACTGCCAAATGGTTCCTTAGCTGGTAAATGCCTGGGATAATCACAGATGAGTACAAAGAAAAGCTTGGGAGGTTATTAAATTTTACTGCTAGGATATAAGTCTCTAACATGGCATGCTTTGACTAGGTCTATAGATTTTCCAGAGGAAAACGGAATGCGCTCTATTTGGGTGAATGAATCAGAAGCAGCATGTCTATCAGGAGTTTGAAAATTTGCCAGCCCTCAGGAGCTGGCAGATAAGGCCACTGAGTGGAGGGGGCTGTAGGGTCAGGCAAACTGGAAAGCACTTGCCCAGGATTTTAAAGACAGCTGATGGAGGGCTTCCCTAGTGGTCCAGTGGTTAAGACTCTGCACTTCCAATGCAGGGGGTGCAGGGGGTTCTATCCCTGGTGGCAGAACTAAGATCCCATACGCTGAGCAGTGCAGCAAAAGAGAAAAAGCGGGGGTCAGCTGATGGAGCCAGTTATTGTTGTGCTAGAACGCAAGTGCAGGAATGCCAGAGCTAATGTTCCCAGAAGAGCTAGAGATTAAGATTTCCCTGTGAGATAGACATATTTTTCATTGCTGGTAACTAAGTTATTAAAAACCACAAAACAGCAATAATACCTGTGCAGAACCACCTGTTTGCCAAACCCTACAGTGATAGACACAGGGTATCTATATATTCCATGTAGCCTGTACCATGATCACAGTTGAACAATTTATGGCCAAAACCATTTTGGAAGCAATCAGACAAAAACACCAACCCAACCATAGTTGGGTTTGGGCTTGGATGAAATAAGATATTTTTTTGAACTTAGAGTTGGTTAACTATAATGTGGCATACAGGGAACAATTCAGGTAACTTCTATGATCGTTCTTTTTTTTTTTTCTGTCAAAAGGAAATACTCGTAGCACCTACCTCAGGCCATTGTAAGGATTAAGTGAGTTATTTCTATCAAGTGCTTAGAACAATGCCTGACATATAGTAGGTTCTCAATACATGGTACCTGTGAATGCTCTTACCATTATGCATAGAATGGAGGTGTGTTCTGGAATGCTAAATGCAAGGTGGTGTTTCCAGAATGTGGATTCATTGAGAAACCTCCTGCAATGTAACTGTTCCCAAAGGGAAAATAATAGCAAGATATCCTAGTCATTGTGTTATGGAGAGCTGGGAAGCAGTTCAGAGGGTAGAAGAACTATTTGAAGGTTACAGTGAAGCACAGCTTCTAATAATCTTTTTTTTGGACATGAAGGTAATTATCATAGTAAGCTGACTTGGCTTGCAATCATGGGAAATGATCAAGTTGTGTATGTGTGTGTGTCTGTCTGGAAGTGTCTTCAGTTTTTCTCTGAGCTTTTGGGAAAATATCTTTTTTTTCTGTTTGTTTTCTCTAAGACTCTTTATGAGACTGAGAGACAGAGATAAACAGAGACAGATGCTGCTAAGCCAGTGAAGTCTGCGGTTGTGCACAAAAGGAAAAGTTCTCTTGCTTCTATTCACTTTCCAGCCATGCTTTACAGACAGAGCCCTGGCTACTGTTCTCAAGCGTTGGTCTGCAAACTAGTGATCCCCTTCAATCGCTGCTCCAGGTGGATGGGGAAGCTGGCATACAGGAGCTCAGAGAGACTTTTATTAAAATTCACAATCGTAAGCGTTCATATAAACCAGGGGCCTGCAGCCTGAAGCCAGGAGGCCAGCCCACGGCCTGTTTCTGTGGGACTGGTTTTTCCATTTTTAAGCGTTGTAAAAGAAAAAAGAAATATGCAACAGTAACCATAGAAGGCCCATAAAACCTAAAATATTTACTATCTGGCCCTTAGTCATTTCCACCTACTATTAGATGAAAAAGGGAAAAGGAGTGTTGGTTTTCCTTTATAATTTGAATTACGAAAGCTGTAATTTACAAACAAGTCACCCTTCCTATCTGGACTTTGTCCTTGTTCATATGTTTTTTCTCTTTAACCAGGTGGCAGAAAAATGTCCAGTTTTTTTTTTTAACATAACTTCTATTGTACCCTGTTGTCTTAAAGAAAATTCAGTTCAGTTATCCAAGTGAGACACTTTAGTTTTGATGGTATGTACATGCTGACTTGCCACCAGGATGGCCAGTTCTTGCTTGGCTGTAAAATTATAGCACAAATACTTTTCATTGATCGCAATTTAACAGCCAATCAAGGCACAGCTTTATCCCCGTGATTTCACTGTGCCTTTACAATTGAGAAGAATAGCGACTATAATGGGTACTATTATGGCCATTGTGTTTCTTCCAGATGAACTCTGGGACGAAGCTGAAGCTGGACAAGTTATATAAACGTCTGCAGCTAGGACATTACGGAAAGAATTATATAACCTCACAGGATATAAAGATTTTCCATAACTTTGCACTGCCTGGAATCCCCTCTAGCCCATAAAACCTGTTGTACCCACAGAAGACTCTTTGTAACAAAATACTTCTTATCATGATCCTAGTTTTCAGAGCCAAGAAATAAAGTCTGAGAAGAGGGAGAAAATGAGGTCTTGAGATTAGAAGTTGGAATGGTTTATTTTTGAATAACTAGGTTTGAGTTCGAAAGTGCATTTCAACTTTTCCATGATTAAAACCATGAAGCTAACTCTGGACATTTTTTGAGACCCCATCTTGATGCGTTTTTCCCCCAGGAGTCTGCATTGTCAGTAAAACACTGACACTTTGTTGATCCTTTTCATCTTTCAGATTTAACTGTCCGTTTCTAAGTCACTAACAGTGATTTAGTTATCTGTTTTTATCATTTGAACTCTCAACAGTTCTGTTGGGAGAAAACACCAAGTTCCCTGAGGATTCAAAAATATAATATATAAACCTCACATTCCATATGCAGGGAGCATTGAGGTATTACTTTTTTAAATTTTTATTGAAATATAATTGATTTATAATGTATTTGTTTCAGGTGTACAGTTTTACATATATAAAAACATATCTGTATGCATTCTTCTTTTTGCATTTTCTTCCATTGCAGGTTATTACAATATATTGAACATATTTCTCTGTGCTATATAGTAGTTGCATGCAGGTTATCTATTCATATATGTGTGCTTAGTCACTCAGTCATGTCTGACTCTTTGCAACCCCATGGACTGTAGCCCGCCAGGCCACAGGTCTGTGGCAATTCTCCAGCAAGAAAACTGGACTGTGTTTCCATGCCCTCCTCCAGGGAATCTTCCCAATCCAGGGATCAAACCCAGGTCTCCTGCATGGCAGGCAGATTCTTTACCATCTGAGCCACCAGGGAATAGTAGTATGTGTATCTTAACCCCAAATTCTTAATTTGTCCCTCTCCTTGTCCCCTTTCGTAAACACAAATTTGTTTTGTCTGTGAGTCTATTTCTGTTTTCTAAGTATGTTCATTTGTATCATTTTTTTAGATTCCACATATAAATGATATCATAGGAAATTTGTCTTTCTCTGTATGGTTTACTTCACTTAGGATGATAATCCCTGGGTTTACCCATGTTGCTGCGAATCATATTATTTCATTGTTTCTAAGATTGAATAATGTTCCCTTGTATACATGTGTGTGTGTGTGTGTATCACACCTTCTTATCCATTCATCTGTTGATGGACACATGTTGCTTCCATGTCTTGGCTGCTAGTGTTACAATGAACATTGGCATACATGTATCTTTTCAAATTAGACTTTTCTCCAGGTATATGCCCAGGAGTGAATGGCATTACAGGATCATATGGTATTACGTTAATTAAACAAGGAGGTCATTGGATGGAGGTGGTTCAAATACTTTAGCAGCCCAGTAATCAAATCTAAACCTCAGGCTGAGATGCCTCAAGTTTAAGAAATCAAAGCCTAAGGATAGCTCATCACAAAGAGCCAACTTGGCTTTTCCGAATAAGACAAAAACTTCATCCACAGCCAGTCAAGTAATTTCCCTGCTTTACTTTCAAACCTGCTCTTTAAAAGATTCCACCCCCCGCCATGTCCTGTGGACAGAGCCCTTCTAACCACTTCCAATTTGGCCCCGCCTGATCTGAATCTATTTTTGTCCAAGTTAACTCTTAAAATTTTGATGCTTCAGTTTATCTTTTAACAGAAGCAAATGTGCTTAATACATAGCAATGACAAATAAATGACTTTAATACTTTCTGGTAGTTTACTTCATTTTGGGGAGTTTTATTTTTACTTTTCTCATCCAACAATGGTTGGTATTACATTCCAGCCATTTGGATGAGCATATCATTGAAAGTGAGGTGCTTTTATAACACTGGCACACAAGAAATTAAGAGTGTTCTGTTCTTATTTCCTCGTTACAGATATGTGTTAGGAAAAATTCCAAACCGTCAAATTCCCATCACTAAAACCAGTGAATGTATGCTCTGGCACCAGATTCCAACTGCTAAACAATGCCAGGTGTGTATCCATGCTAACTCTACTCAACCAAACTGTCTGTAAGACAGACTCCGCCAGTCAGAATCCAACTGTCTCCTTCACGCTTACTGCAGATATCCAAAAACTTACAAAGCAACCTGCGCTAATTGAATCAAAGACGTCTTCAGCCTCTCTTCTTCCTCACATATTTCTTTACATTGGAAATTGGCATTTAGACTAAGGACAAAGATGTCCTGTAAGATTTCTGCCCTTGTGCCTCCCTCTCTTTCCTAAAAGACACCACCATTCACATGATGATCTTAAAGTGAATATTTGACAAACTTTACTTCAGACACATAACCAATCAGTCCTGGGTTAAGTAATTTAGTACAATGTTGTTGATTAGACTTTGTTAAATTCAGAAGAGATTTCATAGGCCAGTGTCCCAAACTAATGAAAATTGAAGTAGGTGTAATGAACAGAGGAAGGGAGAAATTACTTCAAATTACATGAGATACCGTGGTGGAGGTGACACTTGATCTGGGACTTAATAAAATTTTAAATGCAGATATCAAGGGAAAGGCAATTCCAGGGGAACTGAAGCAAATACAGGAAAGGTGGAGACATGGAGAAGGTTGGGTGTAGTTGTAACAAATTAAGACCAGGTTAACTGTTCTTTGGGGTAAAGAGAAGTGAAAAATGAATTCCAGGCTGTATTTGGGGAGCTGGTGACTGTGCTTCTGGAAAGATTTTTCTCACCCCTCCCCAGTCACCATTACCGTTGGCTAGAATTTTGTCCTTTACTTATGAGCTTACACTCTTCCACCCAGTCTCTTATGTAACATCCAAAGGATGCTTCTAATTCTGCTGCCATCATTCAGCCTAAACCTGGACCTGCAGGAGCCTCCTACAGGTTCTTCCTGTGTCCCTACTTTCTCCATGTTCATATGTGTGTGTGCTGAGTTGTGTCAGACTTTGCGACCCCATGGATTGCAGCCCACCCGGCTCCTCTGTCCTTGGAATTCTCCAGGCAAGAATTCTGGAGTAGGCCATTTCCACCTCCAGGGGATCTTCCCGACCCAGGGATCAAATCCATGTCTCCTGCCTTGGCAGGTGGATTCTTTACCACTGAGTCACCCTGGAGGACCCCTTCTCCCCAGTTATCTGCAAACAGACCACTGATCATATCAACTCCTGTTCTCCCACCCCGTAAAAACCATCATTGATTCAATGGTTTTCCCTTGCTCTTAAGATAAAGACCTAAATCCGTTCATCCTCCGCACAAGTCTTCTCCCCACCTTACCACCACCACCCTCGACTCAACATGCTGTGTTCTACTCTTAAAGGGCAGACCACACTGGCTGCTTTACTTCCCTGAAATGGAAGCCTCTTGCCACAGATTTTACCCTACTTATAGTCCCCAGCCTGAAGTCTCCTCTGTAGCCCTTCCTCCCAACCTCCATTCCTCTGCTTTCATTCAAATGTCGACTGAAAGGCCACATCCACATGGAAGATTTCTCTGATCCCCAGACTGACTCTGGGTCTGTGATTCCCTTCAGAGGTTCTGTGCTCTGAGGGTCTAATTGATCCTTGCAAACA